AATTAACTCGAGCTTTTAAATAATAAAATAATTGAATTTCATTCCTGTAGCCTACTTACTTCATATCTTTTATTCCTATGGTCTACTGCAATACTTAAGTAATTTTTAAGCCTTTATGTAAATTATTTAAAAATTAAAAAATAAATAAGATAATTGATAAAAAAAAGTAATTAATGTGGTATTGACCTTTGCAAATACAAATAAATATAAACAAAACGTATCCAAAAATAATTATATATTAAATTGAAATATAGAGACTTTTATATATTCAATAACCAATTACTATTATATCCAAAAGATAGAAACTTTTAAAATTTTCAAATGAAAAGTCAATTGACTTTTATAAATACATAAACTATTGAAACTGGTTGAGCATTATTTATTTTTTTCACCTATTGAGTATTTATTTAAGTTAATATTAGAACGGAACTGTAACTATTATATATATTAAAAAAAAAAGGCGAGGATGAATTTGGAAAATTATATAAAAAAAAAGGTTTAATATCTCTTTTGGTCCTTCGGGACAAATATTCAATTGCGTCCTACATTTTCAATGTGGTCCCAACTTGTGAAAAAAGAGTGCAATTAAATCCTTTTTGGTAACGGCGTTAATTTTTTAACGGACCAGCTAACAGGGTGTACTGAAGTTTGCAACGTGTCTGGAGAAGGTTAATACGTGGCTGTGTGAAGTTAATACGTGGCTGTGTGAGGGTAAACGTGTGTATATTATTGTGGTTAATAAATCAGAGGTTAAGGTTTGAGTTGCAGAAAAATTACGATTTGGGACTTATCATTGTGGAGGAAGTGTCTTGAAATAAGGGTGTTGTTGAAGCTGAAATCTGCAAAGCGAATTGGAAACCGCAAATGAGTTGGAAAATAAGAAAGTTAAAAACAAGGAGACAACCAAATCAACACAAAGCTGTCATTTTTTTGGTATCAGGAGTTACGCGACATCAACAACAAAGGCTGGTTTTTCTATAACTAGAGTTGTTCGTCTTAGCATTTTTTTTTATGTTTTTGCAGTACAATCACTTCTCAACAGAGGTTTGTGCATTTTCTTTTTTTACTTTAAAATTAATTGTGTAGCTTGAGTTTCTTTTTTTTTTGTTTTGTGTGTTCTGCTTTGGAATTGTGGCTGGTGCTTTGTATGTAGTGGGATGTGGATTTATTAATTTTATTTCTAGCCATGATTCTCCTTGATATAATTTTTGATGAGAATTAGTGTCAAATTTTATTTTGTTCTTTTTTGGGGATTTGTATAGGTTCACTGGGGTGTTTTGAATCCTTGTTTAAATTTGACTTAGATCCCAAATCGTAATTTCTCTGCAACCCAAACCCTAACCTCTGATTTATTAACCACAATAATATACACATGTTTATCCTCACACAACCACGTATTAATCTCACACAGCCACCCTAACCTCTGATTTATTAACCACAATAATATACACACGTTTACCCTCACACAACCACTTATTAACCTCACACAGCCACGTATTAACCTTCCCCAGACACGTTGCAAAGTTCAGTACACTATAAAATTAACGTCGTTACCAAAAAGGATTTAATTGCACTCTTTTTTCACAAATTGGGACCTCATTGAACTTTTTAAAAAACGTAGGACGCAATTGAACATTTGCCCCCTTTCGAGGAACCAAAAGAGGTATTAAACCTAAAAAAAAAGTCGATATACAAATAAAGTAAAATGGAGGGATTGTAAAAAAAATTAAGGATTTTCTTAAACTTTTATATCCTATTTAAATAAAAACATAAAATTTATAAAGCATTTTCATTACAAAAGTCATATTGAAGATCATTAGTGTAAGAGTTGAATTTTATAAAATATCTCCGTTAATATGATAACATGATAAAATTTAAGAGAGTTTGTCTTGTCTTAAAGAAAATTCCCGAACCGTAAAAAGAAACATATATTTGCGTTTTAAAAACATAAACAACAAACTAATGAATATTGTAAGATTTTTATAGTAAAGGTAAACAAAAATATTAAAATAAGATGTCTTAAAATTTAATGTTGTATGTAAATATTTAAGACTCTTCCGTTAAAATAAAAGTTAAAAGAAGATATTAAAAAATACAGTCATCTGACTAGAAAAAACTTAAGAAGCTGACATTAATTAACACGTAATATTTAATAAATAAGTGTTAATATTATATTTATGAAACTGAAGTCAATGAAATTAATTAATATTAACTGATATTTTTATTGAAGACTGCTTTTTATATATAAATATGGAAGAAGCAAAATCAGTAAGTTTTTATTAAAAGAGAAAGTTTTCTAAATTTGAAGGAAAAATCAATCAGTTTTGATGGCAGAAAAAATCTCAAACAAGTTGGCTGTCATCATGGTGTTCACAATCTTGGTCGTCTTAGCCATGGAGCCTCATCATGTGGAATGCAAATTTATCACGCCAATGAATCCATGTAAACTTCTTCGGTGCTTTACCCTCTGTCTTGAAGTTATGCAGCAAAACTACAACGGTTTTTATTGTATGGACAACTCAGAGGGTTCATTTTGCGTTTGTAAATGAATTAAAATCATTATCTAATAAATATTGTTTAATTATATTTTGTTTTATTATTTATTTTGAGTTTGATTTATTCTTTTTATTTATAAAAAATGTTAGATAAAATTGTTAAGTTGTTTATTTTTTCTTCTATATTCAGTATAATTATATAGTATAATAAGTACTAACATATTTTCATTTTTTTTAATGTTATAGGAAAAAAGTTAGTCTTAGTATGAACATTTTTATACATATTTAGTGTTTGATAATTGTCATGTGTATTTATTTAAAAAAAAAGAAAATAAAACTATACATTTGACTTTAAAGTGAGTCTTTTTACCTTCTACTTTTTCTTTGTAAATTTAAAATCTGTGGTGTTTTTTTAATATTAAATATATATTAACGCTATTTTTCTTTTTTAATTAACATAAGTGACAATTACTAAAGATCAATTGTATATTCAATTATATTAATTATTAACAAAGTTTAATCACTAAATACCAAACGTTCAATTATATTAATTATTATTATTCAATTTAAAATTTTTGCAAATAAGAACCTTTTATACTCTACTTATAACATCCTTAATTGGGTGTGTTACAAAAGGTACACTTCCAAAGCTCAAAGGGGAGATAATAAGTTTAATTACTTAAGAAATAAAAATAGAAACACAACTACAAGTAATTTTTGAATTGGACATGAACAAAAGATTAAGAAAAAAAGAAGAAAGATGTTAAAAGATGGAAGATAGAAGAGGGGATGAGAAGCTCTTGATGTAGGCATGCCGTTTAAGGGAGCATTAAAGCTCACCAACCCAAAATTAATGGTGTTGTTGCTATTGGAGAGCTATTTTCAAGATACTGCTTGAGGAAGGAGACACCACTAAAGAAGAGTCACTCACAAAGGTGGTTAAATATAGGGTATATTAACTTCAAAGTATTTAACAACTCTTTTAAGAGTCTTGAAGAACCCCTTATATGAGTGAGGTGAAGGGTTAGTAAAAATACAAAACCAAAGGGTGTTCACATAAAAAAAATAACTAATCTTTTAGAAACTATGTCTAAGAGAGGTGTCTTGAAAAGGAGAGAACCATAACTTGGTCTTCAAGCCTCTCTTGTGCGCCTTTAACCTTCTAAAAGAGAAGGTAAACTCCAAGCTTCTCCTCTCTCCAAATATGCGCCCCTCATAAGTGGTTCCAATATTACGGCTCTCATCTACTCCAAATAGTGCAATCTTTTTTCTCATTAGCATAATCTTATTTTACAACACAAAAAACAAAAAAGTAAAATGTCTACTTAAGTCAAATCAACTATGGTCAACAAGTCAACAAAAGTCAACTAAATAAAAGTTAATTTAGGAAAAGTGATTCATGCATATTTTTTTCCTCATTTTAACTTTAATTTTACATAAACTAACATAATTTTTTTTATAAATATTATAGTCACAAAATATGAATATTTTATCGAATTATTTTTTGATTGAGAGTAAAATTATGAAATTAACACCTAAAGTAATTAGAAAAAAATCATACCAAATGAAATCACGCATGTAAATTTTTTAGGATAATAAAAAGTAAAAATATGATTAAAAGCTTAGATATTATAGTAACTAAAATAAAATGTTATTCTTAAAATTTAAACTGAAATTATAAAATAATGAATATAAAAATTACTTATGAAAATAAGTATTTCTTATTAAATTTTATGATCTTATAATTATATAATAGTTGAAAATAATTATTATTTATCGTAGTTAATTTTTCTGTATAATAAAATTAATGAAATAGATTGTGCTTATAAAATTAAAATCGAAGATATATATATATATATATATATATATATTTAAATTTTTAAAAAATATTATAAATCTTTTACTAATAGTAGTAAGTTATAGATAAAAAAATATTACATATTTAAAATTAAAAGTTATCATAAATATTTTATAAATAGTAATAAGTTATCTATATCTATATCTATAAAATTAAAATCTTTTTCTGTCTTTATCTATTTTTCTCTACTTTTATTCTTCAAGTTACGTTTTATTTAAATTTACTCAATTTGTTTTATATATAATATTTTTTGTTTGCCTTTCGACCGATTGGTCCAAGCTCTTTTTGGGTCGAATATGTTGGTCCAAAGGATTGTGTCATTAAATTCCAGACCCATAATACATGGACCCATTCATGTCTAAAGGCCCGCATTATTACTCATGAGTGCCAGCCAGGCCATTCAAGTATCTCCTTAAATGGAAAGAGTTCCAAACAAAGAATCATTACATTAGGCCATAGTACAATACAATAGCCCACAGATTCAACAATAATTCACTAATAATAATAATAATAAAATAATAATTTTCTAGTAGAATAAAAATTATGACTTTTTTTTTTTGTTTTTGTTAAATATTAATTTATTTATTTTCATTTAAGTTAATAATAATAATAATAATAATATAACTTTAATAAGTGGTTTTGCCCGGGAGAAAAGAAAAAGTGAAGGGGGAAGAGTGAGTGTGAGTGAGAGGGAGAGAGTGGTGAGACCCGCTCACGAATTTGGCATCAAATTTTGAAAACCACCTCAGGCTTATACTTTCACTCTCCAGCGCGCCCTCTCTCTTCTAATTCAATCCCAATCAAAAGGATTCTATTCCTCTCCAATTCTAGGGTTTCTCTTCCGCCTAGGGTTCCCAATTCTCTTCTCCTTCTGGTCCCCCTTCTCCCAACATGGCCACCGAAACCCTAGAAGACAACCAGCCTCCCCTCCATGACGATGACGACCTCGCCAAACCCCAACCCAACCCTGCAATTCCTGACAAAGACGCTTCCGAGGACGCTGCGAAATCCGAGGACGCAAATGTCGAGGAGAAGGGCAGAACTGACTATCCCGGAGTAGAAGAGGAAGAGGCACCTGAGAAGAAAGAGGAGATCGACGAGGATGAAGAAGATGAGGAAGAAGAAGAGGATGACGAAGCCGAAGAGAAAGAAGAGACAGTCAAGGCTAAGGGACGTAGCAAAGAGACTCCAAGTAAGTCGAAGAAGAGTAAGAAGGATGCTGTGTCGGAGAAGAAGGATCCCGTTACGCCGACGAGTGAGAGACCCACGAGGGAGAGAAAAACGGTGGAGCGCTTCTCTGTGCCTTCGCCGGCGAAGTCTGGAAGGTCCTCTGCTAGTAAGGGTTTCACAATTGAGAAGGTATGTTTTCATTTTGTTTATTTAACTGTTCATATAATTTATTCGTTTTTTTTGGGCTCGTGAGGACTGGAATGAAGTGTTTGTCTTTTGATCTCTTTGGGTTTCAGGGACGTGGCACGCAGCTCAAGGATATCCCGAACGGTGCGTATTGTTCTTCTTCTTTACTGCTTTGTTGTTTGCTCCTTGTTGTTGTGGCATGCCCTCTTGAATGGTTTTAACCCGATTGTGCTGAATTTTACTTCCTCATGACTCATGGAACAAGTAATTATGAATGTATTGAGGTTTCTTGGGAAATGGTCCGTGGCTTTAACAATTGCGTTCAAAAGAGATGTCATAGATTATTACTTTTGATGGTATTTGCATTGCTGTTCTTTCCCCTGGTGTTTCTTAGCGGCAGGGAAATGCTGCTTTTGTTGACTTTAGGTAGGTCTGACTTGAAAATATGAATGTAATGATTTCATGTGAGTTGTATTTTTGACACTGGTTTTACATTTAGTGATGTCTGTTTTAATTGCTGAAGCCAGTCTTGATTGTGACCAGAGAGAATAGCATCCAACTGAATAATTTCCCCAATGAGTTCTTCAAAGCTTTGTTATTGGTTTTGTAGTTCCTTCACTTTCTATGAAGTGTATTTAGTTGTTCTGTGACCTGTACCTGCAAATTTTAAGTGTTTGAAGGGATGTGTCAGAATTTTTGCTGTTACTAGTAAATTCACTCCATTGGTTTGACATTTTCTTAGTTGTTGAAACCCAATGTCATACTTTTTCTTTATTATTTGTCTTGCAATATTGGTCTGGTATCGGATTGCTTAGAATATTATCATTGTGTGCAGAGTTTTGAAATTCGATTGTTTGCCTGTCATTGTCTGTTTTCTACATCAGTATTACCCAATCCAGTTATTTATGAACTGTTTCAGTGGCGTTTAAGTTGTCAAAGAGAAAACCTGATGACAATCTGCATATGCTTCATACTTTACTGTTTGGGAAGAAAACAAAGGTGATCTACCTTATAACGTTTGTGTTGTTTTTATCAGTTAAGGATGTGCAAACCCTTTAATATTATTGCTATTGCTTAATGTTTTGCAGGCACACAATTTAAAGAGAAACATAGGCCAGTTTTCTGGTTATGTGTGGACTGAAAATGAGGTATTGTTGGTTAGTTATTGTAGTATCTCTGTCCTCTGTTCTATCATGATGAAGAGGAGTGTTAATAACACCCTTCCAAACACTCTTTCTAATTAACTTTTTGCTTGTCGTGAAATTCATATTAGACTTGTTAAATAGTGAGAGAGAATTGTATTATTTAAAGGGTTATGTATAACATTTTCTTCACAATAGTGTTCACAAGAGTTTGTTGCTGGCGATTCTGTTAATGTTATCTTTTCACAAAGCATGAGAACGTCTGAGACTGTAATGGACCCCATAGTTTAAAGATCACAGCTTTACAATTCTTGACAGGACAAACAGAGGGCCAAAATAAAGGAGAGGATTGATAAATTTGTCAAAGAAAAGTTGTTGTACTTCTGTGATGTTCTTAATATTCAGATAAACAAGGCCAATGCAAAAAAGGTAAGTCTTGTTATAGTGTATTCCATTTTAGAAGAGAATCTTGGTACTTTTTAAAATTACATTCTTAAATGAGATTACTTTTAGGAGGAGCTGTCTGCAAAGTTGTTGGAATTTTTGGAGTCCCCACATGCTACAACTGAGATTCTACTTGCTGATATAGAGCAGGTTTGTTCTTTATAGATTGTTTTAGCCAACTTACCCTTATGCAAATTATGTTTTGCATTGTTGTACTATGGTTTCAGCAGCTGAACTATATTGAAACTGAAAGCATCTCTCACACAGGTTGTTCATTTTAGTTTGAAATTGTTTTCTAGTTAAGTTTCCTAAAATTAACAAAAAATAATTATTAGTAACACCTGTAAACAGCACTGTGATTAAATGCTTATTGGAGTCCAATCCTTATATTTTTGAACATTTTTGGTTGTGACAAAATCCTAATTCAAGGGATGGATCAATGAAAATAATTACTTCCAATGAAGTAGATATCCATGGCTGCCTTGTATTATAGGCTCATTGAATCCTAACCTGGTGTAATATGTTGTTTTTAATTGTTTTAGAATTTCATGTTATTATAATGTGACTCACTTTTTAAATTTGCTTCTATGTTAACATAAAGGTAAAAAGAGATCTAGAAAGTCAGCCCCTAGCAAATCTCCAGGGGAAGCATCTATAGAGATACCTGCTAAGGTATTTGGTTATTACTGTATACTTAAAGCATTCTAGCTTGCTATATAAGTCATACATTTTTTCAATTGGCATTTTTGTTGATGGTTTAATATCTTGATTGTGGTTGGTAGTTATTAAAACAATAGTTCTAGAGTTTGACTTTTAATTTGACGTTTTCACTTTTTTGTCTCATCCTATTCTAATGTTGGCATTTGAATATATATGCGATTGTGGAGGCTATCATGTAGTAGATGTCAAATAGATATTCTTTTACTATTTTGTTGAGGCCATTAAAGATTGAAACTATTATACCTGTTAGGCAATTGATCCATACTTGCCTATTACTGGGGTTTCACCATTTTGGTTGACAGTTGCAAGTTTTTATTTTAAAGGGGTAACGACCAGAAGTTCATTAATCTTAAATCTAATTGTTGACTTTATTACCTATAATGACGTTTTTCCTTATCTGAAGTACAGAAGTTTTTGATTTGAGTTAATTTGAAATTACGAACTTAATGGGTTGCTGTGTCATTATGCTTGCGGTTCAGTAACTGCAAATATACACACTTGTGGAGGTGGAGTTTTTATCTAGTTCAAAACTGAAAGGTGAAGCTGTTAAAATGCTGACTTTTCCTGTTATAGTTTTTAAAAAATAAATGTTCACTTCAAGCTGCTTTGTATTTGTTGCTGAATTGATCTCCTGGCTTTGATGCCACTTTTGATACCTATTCATTTTCTGTATTCTGTCAACTGTGAATGCGAAGATGCTGTTTTTTATATTTTCATCTGGATATTTATATTCTATCCTTGAATAGACTATAGTGTGGATTATTAGTTACTGTGTTGGCTTCGTATGTTTTGTTTTAAATTTTATCTTTTATTTCCCGTGGATGATTTGGGTTGCAAATTTGCTTCGTACTTCACGAGTGAAGCGAATAATATGCTTCATATGTTGATTTTAATCACATTTGTATATTTTATCTTACTCTAGAAGCAAAAACAAACTTCCCAATCTGGGAAAAAGCAAAAGGAGTCTTCTGATGAGGATGAAGATAATAAAGCTGAAATTTCAGATGCTAAAGATGATTCTCAGGAAGATGAAGATGTTCCCGCACCAAACAAGGAAAGTGATGAAGAGGAAAGTAAATCAGAGGAAGAGGAAGAGAAACCAAAATCTCGCAAGCGTGCTTCCAATAAAGCTGTTAAAGAGAGTTCAGTTGGCAAAACTGTAGATAAAACCTCATCTGTCAAGAAGACCTCTGTGAAAGATGCCAAGAACATTGAAAAGACTCCAAAAAAAACATCAAAGAAAACTGTTGCTGAGCATGACAGTGCTTCTGCCTCCATTTCCAAGCCAAAGCAACCTGCATCCAAGAAATCGAAAACTGTAAGTGAAAAGCAGGATGCTAAGGGGAAGGCTGCAAGCAAAAAACAAACTGACAAATCTTCAAAGGCTTTGGTTAAGGATCAAGGTGAATTGACTATGTTCTCTCTTCGCATATGGTTAATATCCTCTGTACTACTTTCGAGCCATATGATATTAGTATGCTGGTTCCTCAAGTTAATTTTTTACTATTGATTTTACTTTACTGATCCTGTCAAACTGCATGGGAAATTTTCCCTATTATATTATGTTATTACATTAAACAAGTTACGCAAACTTAATTTTTTAAACTTAGATTTTAATATTAAGTATTGTTTCCTCTTAATTTTAATCCTGTTCATCCATTGATTTCTGATGTCAACGTAGGGAAAAGTAAAAGTAATAAGAAGGCCAAGTCTGAACCTACTAAGCAGGACATGCATGCTGTAGTTGTTGATATTTTGAAGGAAGTAGATTTCAATACTGTAAGTAATACTTCTCCTGAAATTCATGTATAGTTCAATTTTGGGGGTTTCAGGGTCTGTTTCCTATATTCCAAACCTTTTTTTTAAAGCATAAAATTAAAAGCTTGTTGATAAGAGTATTTATCGAAAATTGTTTACGGAGCTAATATTTCTTTTTTCTTAAAAGTCAGAAAACTACACAAGTTTCATTTTTCTATAAAGTTTCTTCTAGCACTTTCACTTCTCACTTTTGTTTTTGGAAAATTAATTTTTGAAAGTTATTTTATAAAATGGTTTTTGAAAGAACTTTTAAAACAAACATAACCAAACACACCTTATAAATACTTGTTCTTATTTATACTATTTTATACTTGATGCAGGCAACTTTGTCCGATATACTCAGACAACTTGGTATGTCCTTTTTCTTGACAGAAGTCCTCCTAAATATTAAGGGAATAATGATATGTTAAACTAAGCTAGTTTGTAACGAAATGTTTATAGGTACCCACTTTGGTATGGATTTAATGCATAGAAAAGCAGAGGTGAAGGATATAATTACAGACGTAATTAATAACATGTCTGATGAGGAAGATGAAGAAGAAGCTGAGAATGATGATGATGCTGATAAAGATGATGACGGTGACGAGGATGATGCCTGATTTTGGTTGGGCAAATAATATTTGACCTGTGCAGAAATTAGAGGCACGTGGGCATCTAATAGCTAGATTTTATCTTCATAATTCTCCGGTCAGTCACTGCGGATAAGTTAAGGTAGATATTTGGTTTGAGTTGTGACCTTTTCCATTATAGATGCTCTAAATTAGGTTTGTATTTTGTACCATAGATTTAACCCGCTCCTCTGTATTACTGATGTTACCTCTGTTTCTCATATTGAATAGTTTGTTTTTTCGCCTGCCTGTAAACATTATTACCTCCTAATTTAGAACATTGTTCTTTCTTTTATTTGTTAAAAAAAAAAATAGATTGTAGATCCTTGAAATTGAGATGATTTTCATGCTTATATTTAAGCCTCTTGTATTTTCACTATTTGCATTTTGGTTGGAATTAACATTTAATTGTAAGTGGGGCAAACAGGAAAATTGAGTTGATATCCTTAATTTATAAATTTGACCTATGCATTTACTGGCAAATGCTTGCTGGATCAGTCGAGCAAGGTTGATTAATTTTTTTCTGGGTTTACAGAGTTCTTAAAAGGCTTTAGGTTTTTAGAGTTGGGAGTAACTGAGAAGTGCAGTTGTTAAGGGGTGTAATTTGAGAAGACAATTGATTGACTATGACTGAATTTCAAAATAAGTAGTATGGTAAAGAACCTGAGTGGTAAATTATTTTAATAGGTGATAAATGATGACTGAATTTCAAAATATGTAGTATCGGTAAAAGAACCAGTGTTAAATTATTTTAGTAGGTGAAAAATGATCATTCGTCCTGATTGTTAAATATTAATTTTATAAAAATGCTGATACCTCTATCAATTCACCTTTCTGATAATATATTAGTATTACGCATGAATTACAATTTTAAAAATAAAAAAATAGAAATGAAATAGTGATATATACTGTTCTTTAATGATTTTGTAATGAGTATGCATTATATCAATGTTCATAAATTTATGGACAATTATCTGTCAACTGCAGCTGTTTGTAATAATCATATAATAATAATTATAACGTTTTAGGATTAGAATGAATGAAAATAATATATATTTTAATTGGTTTGTAGAAGGCATAGTAATGCAAACTAAATAGTTTTTACAAATTTATAAATAGTGAATTAAAAGAAAAAACTCAAGAGTAAAAGAAATGGATGAAAAATTTACCAACGATTTAATGGATGCAATAGTTTTTAAAAATTTATAAAATAATATATTTATAAAATAGTTAAAATAACTTTATTATAAATTATTTTGATTAGTTTTATGAATATAAAGTTACTGTAATAATAATGTCATTATTATAATTATTTTAATAATTTTATTAATATTTAATCCATATATTATTATTTTTAGATCAGTGAAGAATTTCAAATAATATACCTTATGTTACATTTAAATACATAATCAAAATGCATCCGCATGAACAATTCTTGGCAGAATAGAAATAGAATGTAAAAGAAGAACTATCTCAAGAGAATGAAAGCAGTGAGTCCATAATGACCCTAATACTCTTAATATTGGGACAACAATAGTTACTAGATTGCATGCAAATACTAATGGCATGGAGAGAAACATGTTTTATCTATTGCATGCAGCTCATTGTTGTGTAAAAAAATTAGAAACAAGTTATTTGAAACAGATGATGTGTGAATAAAATAACTAAGTTGGAAAGTGATGAGAAAATGAAGTGATAGATGAGTGTCCAAAGGAAAGGGGGGAGTCCTCCTTTCCCCTCACCTCTTCTCTCTTCTATCTTACTCTACATTTTTTCAGAATTTGGTTGAATAATACCAAAGTCCTCTTTCACCTTTTCTTTTCTTGTTCATTCATTTTAGAGTCTAGGACAAGTCAAAATATTTAATGTGTGTTTTATATAATAAATGTGTTAATATGACTTTGGTAGTTATTCTATTATTTTAGAATAAAAAAGTATTAGTGCAACAAGTTTTGAGAAATGTGAGCGTATTTATAATTCAAAAGGGTAAAGTGTAGATAAAAAAAATGAAATAATATTAAAAATAAATGAAAAAAAATTGGTGAATAGACACGTCAACAATTAATCTAAAGTTTAAAAGGTTTCTTGCTTCTAAATTAGAGTCAGATTCTTCTTATGCATATTATTATAAGTTTTTCATTTTTTGTTAGAATAATTAAATATCTATAGTTCTTTATCTTTTAATTTAATTAATTGGATGAATTTTATTTACTTAAACACGTGAACTTAGAATAATTATGAAATTACTCTACTAAATTAGGTTGGTACGTATTTATGAGTGATTTAATCAAATATTTTATTTTTAAAAATAATAGTAATTTCAACTTTTTAAAGTTAATTTTGTTTTAATTTATATTTTTGTCAATAATGTATGGATACACATGTTTTTATATTCAAACTTATAGAAAGAGATTATTGTATAAATAAATAATTCTCTGAAGTGATACTATAGAGTTTAAAGCATTTCATCACGACATAAAAGATGTATTTCTAAAGTTGGCTATTGGAGTAGAATACATGTATGATGATTTAAGTCAACTAATGAATGACAAAGATAGGAAGGTTGAGTTAGATTTTTTTCTAAAGATAATGGTTGAGCAGAATATTGAATTCAAGAAAATGAGAGAGGACATGGATTAGAGGTTGCAAAATCGGATAATTGATTAGAACAATATCAAGATTAGAAGATCAAATAAACAACCAACTATAAAATCACATCATGCTGATATGTCTATTGATGGACATACAAATTTTACTAAATGTGTTGTTAAACTTGTTAATGATGAAGCAATAGAGTCAACTACTTCAGGTGTAGACTTTTTCTCACAAGATGAGATTATTAGAATTAGTGATGATCCTAATTACCATCCTAATGCACTTGATGATGCTGAAATTGAGTTGAAGCTACATGCTTCACACATCAAGTTTGTTGATGTGAACAATGAAAATAATTTTTTGGTGGTGATATTTATAAACTTGGCTACCAAACATAAAGGTTGTAGAAGGAGGAAAACATGTTATATTTAAATTCATTTGATATCATTGTTGATAAAAAATCTAAATTGCATGCATGTTTGTGTATTTAGCATAAATAGAAAAAAAATTATTAGAATTTTAAAAACATTTGTTTTCATTAAAAATAAAAATTTAAAAATTAACAAAATTGTACAAGGTGACTTGTACTTTATAAAATTAAGGTTTAATACCAATTTTGTTCCTATTTTCGTCAACTTTGTTCGATGTGAGACTCATTTTTTTTAATGTTCAGTGTAGTCCCTTATATCGTAATTTATGCTCAATTTGGTCCTTTTGGCTTACGACATTTATATCGTTAGCGACAAAGTATCCAGGTCACCTATTAGTGAATGAGTTGTTAGTTTTTTTTTTTATATACGTGGGAAATTTAAAGGAAATATGGTATTTGAAAGTGGTTTTGTTGGAACTCTTGCTCATAACCTTCTGCCGCTACAACTCCATTGTCGTCGCATCGTTACCGTGAACTCTCCTACCTTCTCCGTCCACCTACTTCCTTTCATCGCGTAGTGAGATATTCTTCTCCTTCCTTTTTCCTGTTGTGGTTTCGATTCATCAGGAAACCCTTCTTCATTTTCCCCTTTGAAGCAACCCATGAATGTGGATGAAGTTTGGGTGCAAACAATGTCACAATGGCTGGTGAAGGCAGCAATGATGCATTGCGAGGGGTACCAGCGACAATAACAAAGGGAATCATGGTCCCAATCTTGTAATTTAGGGTTTATGATATTGTTTTCTGATTTGGAAAATTAGGGTTCCTTTGTGTTTTCGCGTTTCAGATTAGGGTTTCAAATTGGAATTTGAAATTGGGTGTAGTTTTGAGAAGTCTTTGTGTTATTGATATTCTGGTTTGGGAATTTCATGTGTTCTTGATACTCATCTATAGATTGTTGGTGTGATTTGGGGGTTAGGGTTTCAAATTTGACATTTGCGTTTTTTGGTTCTATTTCTCGCGATTTGGGTGTCAGGCTTCCAACAAAACCACTTTAAAATACTATATTTCCTTTTAAGTTGTCACGTATATATAAAACTAACAACTTATTCACTAATGACTAACCTGGATACTGTGTCGTTAACGATTTAAATGTCGTAAGGCAAAATGACCAAATTGAACCTAAATTACGAAATTAGGGATGACATTGAACATTAAAAAAAAATGAGTCCCACATCGAACAAAGTTGACAAAAATAGGGATCAACAATGGTATTAAGCCTAAAATTAAAGAGAATAAATCTTGACATATGGCTAGATTGAGCCAAAAGTCTAAAAAATATTTTTTTTCCTCCCAAAATAAGTCCATGAAAGATAAATTTTGAAATAAGAACGCGGGAGACAAATAATAATTATGATATTTTTTTCATTTTTTGTTTTTTAATTTTATTTTTATTGTCATAAAAAAATGTGATTTATTTTTGAGAAAATTGTGAAAGTATTAACTTTCTACTTGGTGAAACTTTTGTCAGAGCGGTGCAACGAAATGATTAGCGTGAACAATAAAAATCAAGAGGAGAGTGAATTGGTTTCTTATTGCAAATGTTTGCCTTTAATAATTTTCTCTTAATTTAAATTTCCTTAACAGATAATTAAAACAATAATAAGAGTAAGGAAGAGAGAAAATTACACAAATAATTTTATACTGGTTCAGATCACAAGGATCCAACGTCCAATTGCTAATTCCAAACGGAGATTAACGTTTCACTATCACAAAACCAATAAACTGTTACAATCACAAAGAAAAACAAGGTTAAGGTTTAGAAACACCTCTTTTGTTACCACAAGAGTTGAAACTCACTTCCCTTAAAGGCCACAAGGGACGAACACCTCCTCCGGATGCTTCACGAAGGATGAACACTTTCTTTGAATCTTCACAAAGGATGACATAATTCACTCAGTAAGAACACAAGGGTGACACAAACCTAAGCTCACACTTATCACACCTCAAAAGCAATCAGATGAGTTTTTGTATGTTAGAATAAGAGTATAAAACCAATATATATAGATCTCACTCAAGAACACCTTCAAAAATCTGTTTTTATCTTTTTCTCATGTGAAAATTGATTATCCACTTATGGTAATCGATTATGTATTACTGAATGCACAACGACCAAAAACATGCCTAAAAACTCCAACCGCTAGTCGTGATAATCAATTATGGTGAGTCATAATCGATTATTATAGGTTGGTAATCGATTATTCCATAGACAAAATGAGTTTTTAGCAACCTTTAAAAACCTCTCTATGATAATCGATTATCTTA